GCTGTCGCGGGCTGTCCCCCTCCCGGAGCGCGGCGAGGACGGGCGGGCGGCCGGCGCGCGATCCCTCTGGCGCCGCCGTGGTTTCGGCTCCTGGCGGTCCGCTCCCAGGACGGACTGCGCCCTTGCCGAGGCCTTTTCACCCCTCCCGGCAGGGGCGGCGGGCACGCCGGGCGGCGAAAGAGGGGCCTCGTGGGGGGAAGGCTGGTTCTCGCTGGCCGCCCGCCCTCTCGTGGCCCCCCCGGCCAAGGCCGAGCCTGGTGGGAGCCGCTTGGGCCCATGTCCACGATACGGAGCGTGTCTCGAGGACCTGAGCCTGGGTCAGCGCGGAGGCGCGGGCAGGAGGGGCGCGCGTGGCCAGGCTGTGGCCGGTCAGCTCCCCCCAGGGTGCGGACCCCGAGGCGCCCCTTCCGCCAGTGGGCGCGGGCCGCTCCCCGAGCCGCTCTGCGGTGTGCGCCGACGGCCGGGCCGCTGCCCGTCGTGCTCAGAGCGCACGGGAGAAGGTCCTTATGTTGCGTCAGCGCGCGTGCCCTGGCCGGGCCGCTTCACCGGACGCCTGGCGCGCAGTCGCCTCCCGCGTGGACAACGGCGCGGGCGTTGACTCCGCGGAGCTGACGCGACTTGCAGTTTCGCGCGACTCCGCGGTCCACGCAGCTCCCCGACCCCCCAGCACTGCTGCTGCGGAGGGAGGGGGCTGGCAGCCGCCGTGGCGGGAGGAGGGCACTCCCGTGTGCATGTGGGGGAGGAACACTGTACCCCATCCTTTCTCTCATCTGCCTGGTGTTCCTTATGGAAGTTGGCAGCACCTGACACTGGCAGTCACGCTGGCGTGGACAGAAGCTTCTGGAGATCATCTGCTCCGAGGGCCACCCACGCCCAGCCCCAGCACAGCGCCTGGCCCGAGTGTCCAGTAAGACGCGGACGGGGCTTAGCATATGAGCCCGCCAAGACCGTCTCTCCGACAGCAGGCGCTGAGAGCTGAGCTCGCAGAGCCGCGTGGCGGACTCCCTCCTCTGCCGGGGAGGTGGACATAGCCCGTTTGGCTCTTGGCACGCGCGGGAGAGAACAGGAGCTACTCAGTGGGCAAGAGGAAATCGGATCCAGCTGTCCCGGGTTAAAGAGCGAGTGTGGACTGGCATCGGGTGGGAATAAACCCTCACAAGTGAAGAGGGCTTATGCCCACCAGCTGCTTTCCTAAACCACCAGAGGGCTCCCCCAGCAGAGAGCCTGAGATTGGACAGGAGCCCAGCCTGAGGGGCACAAAGCCTCGCGTCTTCCCAGGAAGCAAAGGTGGCAGGCGAGCTCCCCCGCGGGCACAGGCAAAGCTCTGCTGCCAGGGGAGGCTCCCCCTTCCCTGGGAGCGGCAGGCGTCACTGCCGTGGGGCTCCACGCTGCCTAGCAGGCCGCGGTACTGGGACGGTGGCACCGAGGGGGCCCAGCAGGATGGAAAGGGAGTCGGAGGCCAGGCCATGAGCCGTGGGCTCGGGCGGGAGCAGAAGTCACCAGTGGAGCCTCCCGTGTGCAGCACAGAAACTCGCAGCTCCCACTGCGTACAGATTTAACTTTCACGGGCCGGACACCTAGCTAGGGAAACACCGAGAATAAGACAGGAGATCGGCTCTGTGCCCTTGGGTAGGCCCGTCCCTCTGATGAGAAACACAAAACACAGCCATAAACTGAAACACCGACTAGGTGCGTAAAGGCACTGGCATGCCGCACTGGCCCCTCCTGAGCCACAGAAGGGAGCTGGGAGCAGCGGCGTGATGATTGGGGTGGGCACGGCCCTCCAAACGGGCACGCCGTCTCCCGGTTTCTCCCCAAGTCTTTTCACAGCCTTGACATCATGATTATGGAAAAGGCTCAACCAAAACCATTTCTCCATTTCCCATGAGGACACCGGTCAGGAGGTGAAGGGACCGGGTAAGGACACGCAGCTCCTTGGGGACGCAGGGGGAGGGGGCACCTCTCCCCCAAGACCTGGCTGCCACCCTCCCCCACCCAGCCTTTGCAGGAACCCGCGGACTAGCCCAGGGCGGGGCCTCGTTACCGCGTTCCTCTCGTTCCTCTCAGGACCCTTCGCCCACCCCTGGGGCTGGACGGTGGCTGATGGGACTTGGTATCAGAACTCAGGCCCCACCCCCCCAACCTGGGGCTCAGAAACTCTGGGAGGGCCCAGTGCCTGGGGTAACGAGCCCTCCAGCTGTTTGAGAGCCCGTGGTTTAGACACAGCGCCGTGCACACCGGAGTTCACGCGAGTTCACGCCCCAGCTCTGGTGGACTGGCTCTGGGCCCTGGCCCAGCTCACCCAACCTCTCGGGTTAGTTTCCTCTTCAGTGACCACACGCCCGGAGGCGGCCTGACACAAGCCATGCAGCTTCTGTCGTCGGACACGGTTCCGGATGGAGGGGAAATGGTCTGAAAAATCAGACTTTCCACGCTAATTTATGTGACGACCTCCCTTGTTTGTATAATCGTAATATCACAATATTCTCGGCAACCTTCAGTTGACAACTGGACTGCCCCAGCGTCAGGCGCTGCAGCAGGGCGAAAAATTCCCCTTGAAGTCAAAAGTGATCTTACGATTGGCTGATTGATAAGAGCAATTGGCTGTGCTACAGCAAAGTCAATACTGAGGCAGTACTGGAACATACTTTTCACTGCCCTGACGGACAAAATCCCAAATCTCGTCCCCCTACTACCGCACAAAGCCTTCTATTCAGTTTCTAAAGAACTGCTTAAGCTTTCCACTATCTAGGCTTTAGATATGGAAATTCACCCAAGCCGCCTATTCAGAGCGAATCAGGTTTTCTACTGTCTAGACTTCAAGGAAATTCACCTAAGCTTTCTAACTAGTTTTTCAGGATTCTACTATCTAGCCTTTAAATAAAAAATACACCCATGTCTCCTATTCAGAGTTAATTAAGTTTTCGACTAGAGTTTAAGGAAATTCACTTAAACTTTCTAACTCGTCTTCAAAGAACTTCACCGTATTTCCTTTTGTGGTTTGACTTACATTTCCTCTTCCTGCCTCACTTTACCCCCTAGGACGCCTCTCTGAGAATGAAAGCCCTTAAGTAACAGATAAGGTTTCAGGGACTTTATTTTGGTTAAATCTCCACTGTGGTAAATACAGTAATATTAGTCTTAAATTTTATGTATCTATGTGCCTCTTTTAACCTTGATAGATGGATTTTAAAACTGTTATAATCTCTACTAAAGGTCAAAATGACTCCAGACTTTTCTTAGAAAAAAGGTGATTCATAGGCCAATCAATGTCCAGTCCATATGCTGATGTTGTAACGGGGGTCCCTAGGAGAAGGGGAAGTTCCAGGTTCCCTGCCCCACCCAGAAGGAGGGTGGAACTGAGCAGAGAAAAAGAGAGAAGAAGAGAGAAGGAGGCCAGATGGAGAAGGAGGAGCCCTGAGGAGGCCATGTGGAGCAGCCAGCATGTGAGGAAGAAGCTGGGCTTATTTCCTGACCCTGGACTGGTGAAGGCAGATGTGGGTGAGAGACCTGCGGGGAGGTGACTGTGGCCGTGTTTATCCTGATTTTGATGTTGCTCTTTTCCTCCCAGATTTGTCTGGCCATTTCTGACCCTTTGCCATGGGTGCTTTAGTCTAGAAGGTGCTTTAGTCTAGTGGCAGCTTTCAGGCCTTGCTCTGGGCCAGTCCCTTTTGGGTGGACTTTGCCCACGAGGGGACGGGTCACTTCAGGTGTTTGACTTAGAAGTTCTATTCTTTGTGTTCCGTATTGTACATTCACTGTATCAAAGTCCCTTTTCATTGAAGTTTTGTGTGTTTTGTCTTGTTGCGGCGGATGGCAGAGCCCACTTAGAGCAGGCAGGTTTGGGGCTTCAGGGGTGCCCCGTAACAAGAGGAAGGCAAACCTGGGCGTCTTCACAGCTGCTCTGGCACCACCTCGCCTCGGGTGCCTGGGGGCGGAGAAGCGGCCGCTGAACCAACCCCCCGGGCCGGGCAGGGCACCGCCGCCTCGCTGTGCCCCCACGTGCCCATTTCTCCAGGGACAGGGTGGTGTTGTCCAGGCGGCCACAGGCCCCTCAGGCCTTTCTGGCTGGTGGCAGCTGCCCCCAGGCGGCCCCGCCCGCTCACCTGAGGCTGGCTTGGCAGGCAGGGCCTGGCTGCCTCCGGGTAGGTAAGGACGGGGGACAGCCCTGGCCCGCCCGTCTGCGGGGGCTCCGCAGGGCAAGACCCTGCCGCCGCCCAGCCAGAGCGTACTCACCCCTGGCCGGGAGCGGCCGGCGTCCTCAGAGCCGTGAGGGTGACAGGCTGGGAGGCTGCTGCGCCCCACTTGTGAGTGCTGGGCCGCCTGCGACGCGAGTCAGTCCCGGGTGTCGGGACCCCCGGCAGCTCTTTCCCTGCCCGAGCGTCCTCGTGCCGACCCTGGCCAGGTGCCTGGGGCCCCGCTGCCTGCCCGGCCGGCCCTGACCTCCCTGCTTGGCAGAAGCCCCCCCCAGCAGGCGGCTCTGACCCCCACCTGACAGGGGTGGCCCCACACAAAGAGCCGCCCCGGCCCCCAGTCGGGCAGAGCCACCCCTGGGGCAGTGCCTTGC